TGTGACACGAGCTAAATCGGCAAATAAATAACTATGACACGTGTGAGCCACTTCTCGTGTTTTACGCCAAAATTGGGCCATTTTCTTCCTCTTATCCGAAGGAGAAGTTGTTGACAGGGCTTTTAGTGTGCAGACATTATAGTATGGGTACTTCTTGTCGGGATAACTAGGAAGGTATAAAATATTACCTGTAAATTATCATCTGTTATGGTTCATTTTAAATATGTAAAACTATCTTCAATTTATTATTATAGTAATAAAGATCTCTAATAAATTATTGTGTGATCCCGATAAAAAAAAAAGCAATTTCTATGCACATAAAGCTTGCACCCCCCCCCTTTTTTTTTTCCTGTAGTGACTCTATCTGTAATTACACTGGAGCACTCTGCAAATACAGGTCAGTGAAAGCTACCAGCATGACTCGCACTCGCCGATGGCACTCAATCATCGATCCAGCCAGAATTGTACTGCACAATCAGTGGCAAAACATTAAGCAAAGATTTGCTTCAGTCGGATTAAATTCACGTCCAGATAATGGTCATAGGATTAAATTATTAATTTCGGCGGTTTCACTGCAACCTCGGTGCTCGAAAATGTATTGAAATGTTTCCCGTATTTTATCATCTTAACGTTATTGTTTCTTCCTTGCGTCGATAAACTGGTCAATGGACTTCGATTTATTTCTTTAAACATTTTCAGAGTGTGACACGAATTAATTTTATAATTTTTATTTTAAAATCCATTAGGGGCCAAACGTAAAGTCATGTTATTCGGCATCTTGTTCACGTCGTTTGCCATCGGTTCACAGCTCCAGCCGTGACATGTTCTTGATCATAAAAAGCAAGATATGTTGAGCAGTTGGTATGGCAAATGGGTCTCTCGACCATGGAAGAGGTATTTCATAGTTGACCTTTACTTTCGCTCATACGTAAGGAATTAAGTGACTGTGATGGGCAAGAACAATTTCAAGAAAGATCTAACAAGACAGCAAAGTTATGGTCTCAAGTCACACGGTTATGTTATGAGGTAACACAGTTACGGAATCTATTGTTAAGAAATTTCGCAATTATTGAAGTGTTATGTCAATGACAAAGAATGTCAGGTCGACAGGTAACTTTTTCGATATTGAGAATCACGCCTACGTCCCCAGAAGGTGCTGCGCCCATGTCCCCAGAAGGTGCTGCGTTTGCCCCTTTTGCCCCTACGAAATCTAAGATGAACACCTTTCAAACATCTCTCAAACTCACAATCTTTTAAACTGAACATCAGCTAACGTACGTTCGCCGATTGTTTAAGAACATGGATACACATTCATACAACATACAGATTGGAACACTCGTGACAGAGCCAGATCTGTGAGCACGGATGATGAATCTTGGAATTTTCTGTGCATGGTTTACGAGAATCCAGTTTTTATATGAGCGAGTGATTCTCCGAAGAAAGTCGCATTAAATATAATTCTATCAGATTTTCCCCTTTTGCTGACAGAGTTACCTTTCCAGAGTTTTACATGGTACCATCATTTTTTTGTCTTAAAATTTGTTATGTTGCCGTCAATAAGGTCCATAGAACTATTTTTTTTGACAAACCAGCCCCCCCCCCTTACTTCCTCACGCAGTCTCACTCTACCCTCAAAAGTACGTGACACTTACAAAGTATAAAGTTGTAAAATAATTAAAAAGTAATTCAAAATTATTATTAAAAAGCCACTTCATCATTTAATTATTAAATTTTAATAAGTGATATCTTCTTCCAGAATACATCCATTACAACAGAGTGTGTAACATCATTGTCTGTGTAACATCATTGTCTGTGTAACATCATTGTATGTGTAACATCATTGTCTGTGTAACATCATTGTCTGTGTAACATCATTGTCTGTAAAACATCATTGTCTGTGTAACATCATTGTCTGTGTAACATCATTGTCTGTGTAACATCATTGTCTGTGTGACATCATTGTCTGTGTGACATCATTGTCTGTGTGACATCATTGTCTGTGTGACATCATTGTCTGTGTGACATCATTGTCTGTGTGACATCATTGTCTGTGTGACATCATTGTCTGTGTAACATCATTGTCTGTGTAACATCATTGTCTGTGTAACATCATTGTCTGTGTAACATCATTGTCTGTGTAACATCATTGTCTGTGTAACATCATTGTCTGTGTAACATCATTGTCTGTGTAACATCATTGTCTGTGTAACATCATTGTCTGTGTAACATCATTGTCTGTGTAACATCATTGTCTGTGTAACATCATTGTCTGTGTAACATCATTGTCTGTGTAACATCATTGTCTGTGTGACATCATTGTCTGTGTGACATCATTGTCTGTGTGACATCATTGTCTGTGTGACATCATTGTCTGTGTGACATCATTGTCTGTGTGACATCATTGTCTGTGTAACATCATTGTCTGTGTAACATCATTGTCTGTGTAACATCATTGTCTGTGTAACATCATTGTCTGTGTAACATCATTGTCAATTTCAGGTTTTACATATATGTTAAAAAAGCGTGTGACGTTACAAGAGACCTTTATTTCATGTCACAAATTGTAACACTTACTTTGATCCTGTCACACTTACTTTGGTCCTGTCACACTTACTTTGATCATGTCCCACTTACTTTGATCCTGTCACACTTACTTTGATCCTGTCCCACTTACTTTGATCCTGTCCCACTTACTTTGATCCTGTCACACTTACTTTGATCCTGTAACACTTACTTTGATCCTGTCACACTTACCTTGATCCTGTCCACACTTACTTTGATCCCGTCAAAGTTATTTTGATCCCATCCCACTTACTTTGATCCTTTCCCACTAACTTTGATCCTGTCCCACTTACTTTGATCCTTTCCCACTTACTTTGATCCTGCCCCACTTACTTTGATCCTGTCACACTTACTTTGATCCTGTCACACTTACTTTGATCATGTAACACTTACTTTTATCCTGTCACACTTACTTTGGTCCTGTCACACTTACTTTGATCCTGTCCCACTTACTTTGATCCTGTCACACCTACTTTGATCCTGTCCCACTTACTTTAATCCTGCCCCACTTACTTTGATCATGTGTTACTTACTTTGATCCTGTCACACTTACTTTGATCTTGTCACACTTACTTTGATCATGTCATACTTACTTTGATCCTGTCACATTTACTTTGATCCTCTCACACTTACCTTGATCCTGTCACACTTACTTTGATCCTGCCCCACTTACTTTGATCCTGTCACACTTACTTTGATCCTGTCACACTTACTTAGATCATGTAACACTTACTTTTATCCTGTCACACTTACTTTGGTCCTTTCACACTTACTTTGATCCAGTCCCACTTACTTTGATCCTGTCACACTTACATTGATCCTGTCCCACTTACTTTAATCCTGCCCCACTAACTTTGATCCTGTGTTACTTACTTTGATCCTGTCACACTTACTTTGATCTTGTCACACTTACTTTGATCATGTCATACTTACTTTGATCCCGTCACATTTACTTTGATCCTGTCACACTTACATTGATCCTGTCACACTTACTTTGATCCCGTCATCTTTACTTTGATCCCATCCCAATTACTTTGATCCTGTCCCACTAACTTTGATCCTGTCCCACTTAATTTGATCCTGTCCCACTTACTTTGATCCTGTCCCACTAACTTTGATCCTGTCCCAATTACTTTGATCCTGTCACATTTACATTGATCCTGTCAAACTTACTTTGATCTTGTCACACTTACTTTTATCCTGTCACACTTACCTTGATCCTGTCACACTTACTTTGATCCCGTCACACTTACTTTGATCCTGACCCACTTACTTTGATCCTGTCCCACTAACTTTGATCTTTTCCCACTTACTTTGATCCTGTCCCACTTACTTTGATCCTGTCCCACTTACTTTAATCCTGCCCCACTTACTTTTATCCTGTCACACTTACTTTGGTCCTGTCACACTCACTTTGATCCTGTCCCAATTACTTTGATCCTGTCACACTTAAATTGATCCTGTCAAACTTACTTTGATCTTGTCACACTGACTTTGATCCTGTCATACTTACTTTGATCCTGTCACACTTACTTTTATCCTGTCACACTTACCTTGATCCTGTCACACTTACTTTGATCCCGTCACACTTACTTTGATCCTGTCCCACTTACTTTGATCCTGTCCCACTAACTTTGATCTTTTCCCACTTACTTTGATCCTGTGCCACTTACTTTGATCCTGTCCCACTTACTTTAATCCTTTCCCCACTTACTTTGATCCTGTCACACTTACTTTGATCCTGTTACACTTACTTTGATCCTGTCCCAACTTCCCTTCAATTTCCTTAGCGTGACGCTCTTAATGTCGCCTCCTATCGGAATTGCTCTTCTAACATTTTTTCACTTTTGAAAACCTTCAACATTTACGTTCCCTAACGTATGAGCCCAAATATCGCTCAACTATGGATACATTTACCTCCGTGGATACACCTATCGCCAACCACTGACCAACGTACATTTCCACCACATTTGACTTAGGAGCTGGAGCTGCGCTTAGTGGACAAACGCAACTAAACGCGCAAGTTGCGGAGTGCCAGTATTGCTAGTTTTGGCACATGCTGTACTTAATGATAGTCATGTTACGTCAAATTTATATTAATATACAAACATAATTTTTACCGTCGTCATCCCATTGTGAAAATATTGTCCTATTTGATTGCTTCTAGTATGCGACACCCAACCACATTTTTGTTTGTCCTTATTTCATAGTGTTTTCCTGAAGTTAATATCTAGGTATAAATAATATGCCTTAAACCCATTTATAATCATAAACTAAGAATTCTACATGTCTACAAAAATCACCGATTCACACGTTAAGCACAAAGCTCACGAACTCTTTCAAATGGCCAAGAAATATATAGTGCCGGCCTACACCAAGCCTGCAAGCACAGGACTTAACACAATGGCGTCCAAGCTAGACGTCTACTGGGCCTATCAGAATAGCCCAAGCTGTTGGGAGAAAATGACCTTGATGCAGGTAAGATGGTTACTAGAGTAACTTAGACAGAAAAGTAGATCTTCAACCTAGAAAGGCAAAACAGGCACGTCAATAATATAGTTTCGGAGAAACAGGTACACAAGTAACAGGATGCAGGTAAAGCAGGTACAAATAAAAGGATTCAGGTAATCAAGTCAGCATATAAAATGATACAGGTAATCCCGTACACAAATAAAATGATACAGGTAAAACAAGTACAATAATAAAATGATACAGGTAATCAAGTACACCAATACAATAATAAACGTAATCAAATACACCAATAAAATCAAGCAGGTAATCAAGTGCATCAACAAAAGGACACAGGTAGCATTTTTGAGACATCTCTAAATAGTATCCTATCCCGACTTGAAACAAAAACAAAATCCTGTCATTGCCAAAGAACACACCGTCCAGCTACTAGGTGTAGCAATAACCCTGTTCCAACAACAAGAACCACATCCAGCCACTAGTTTTATTGATCACAATGATGATATCTTAAGCATTAACACAAACATTTTCAGATTATACGCGAGGGGTCAGCTGAGGATCTGAACAAAGTCATCATGACATCACCCAACCCCCGTGACATCATTAACTACCGTGACCCGGCTTGCATCACCGCTCTCCAAATGGCCGCCAGGTTCAACAAGCCATGGGCAGTGGAAATACTTCTCTGTAACGGAGCAGGTACTAATAAAGCTCAATACTCTTAAGAGGTCGAGAGTCTATCTCTTAGGACCTCGGCCATGAAACATGGCCCAGTAGTCCCTGGGGACTCCGGCCATGCAACACGGTCACGAGTAGGGGGGGGTTGGACAGTTTGCTTTCACTCATCAGGGGACAGTTTTGCGTCACCATCCCCCTTGCCCTATGAGTCATGCGGTCTAGACGTTGGTTTGGAACGGCTTTGCTTCCTCTCCAGGGATGGTGTTGCGTTACCTCACCCCACCGTCCAGGGAGCAGTTCGGACGGGACTTTGTCGGGACGAAACGGTCACCTAGGCGCGGCTTTCTCAAGGCCGCACGTTTTTAATCCTCAGCAAGGGTTTATAAAATATACTCAAGCCTCATATCCATTATCGGCGACACGTCATCATGTTAGCGCGCAACGCCCGTTGCGTGGGAAGTCATGCGTTTCGCTTGGATCTTTTAGCTTCAGGAGTGTCCTCCCTACTAGTCTTCCACACCACGCTGAGGTCAGATCCGTGTGACACCTCCGAATTTCTTCGGGGGTGTGCTCTCCGACCTGGAGGGGTCAGTTCACAGCGAAGGGAGCAGGTACTAGACCCTGCATTATATCATAGTCAAGTAGATTTAGATATTGGTCCTCGGATGTGGTTATTGTCATTCGTCCTTAAGGTAGTACTTATTATGTAGTAGGCTTTAGTCCTCAGATGTGGCAGTCATTCGTCTCCAAGTGTATTATTAGTATTAGTCATTGTGTGGCAGTCATCGGTTTCTCATATGTCGTAGTCATTGGTATAGAGTTGTAGTTGTAATTTTGAATTCATATAATTTACCATCGTAATCGAAACGGTCCATTGGCAAAATGAATACTTTGATTGAGAAACGGCGGCGGCAAAATTGGTGACTGCTAAACGGCGGCGGCAAAGTGGCGACTGCTAAACGGCGGCGGCAAAGTGGCGACCGCTAAACGGCGGCGGGAAAGTGGCGACTGCTAAACGGCGGCGGCAAAGTGGCGACTGCTAAACGGCGGCGGAAAAAGTGGTGACTGCTAAACGGCGGCGGCAAAAGTGGCGACTGCTAAACGGTGGCGGCGTATCATCATAGCTAGGAATTGTGTTGATGAGATCAAAAGAGAAATAGATCTAAGAATGAGCTAGGTTCACATAACGCCAAAAGGGAGAACTTTTTAAGTACGTTCGGATTTCTAAAAACAATCATAGTTATTTTCTATTCTTTTACGGAAATCGAAGAAATTTCAATGTGCAAAAAAAATTTTAACTCCGCTTTTATTTTAGTAAATGTTTAAATATTATTATTATTATAAATGACCAAAACATTTAAAGTATCAACAAAGGAACTATTTTATGCATTTTATATGTGTTTGAAAGTTATGAAAAAATAAAAAAAATATAAAAAATCATGCTCAAAGAATTACACCGTAATCACATTTATCGGGAAAACCCAGACATCAGTTGTTTTTAGTGCGTCTTTTAGTGCGTTGTTAATATTGGGAATTAAAATTCAAATTATTTTGTTCTCAACAATCACGCCAATGACGTCATAGTGTGAATAGCCTATTTTGCCAAAACTCTTAGGTTTCATTAAAATTAATAACTGTGCTTGACAAAACTGATTATGTATTTTCCCTTTTAAAAGTAAACTTAATAAATACAATTGATTGCTTTTTGAATTGTTAATAAAACACACACACATTTTGGCTTTGAATATTTTTACATTTAAAAAGTTTTGCCTTTTTTATTCCAAAAAAATATTTTTATGAAAATTATAACGTAATAAATTCTAACCTTTAAATATATTCTAATAAGACAATGTGGTTTAAGCCAATCAGTGCAGCACACTTCCATAGCCAAATAGCGTTTACTAATCAACTTATAACTCATACAAATAAGAACGAACCATGTGAAGTGCAAAGTATGTTAGTATGGGTATGGAAAGGACTACAATCCGGTGAAAGATTTTCTAAATTTATTTGAATCTGGGTGGGGAGGGGTTGTTCACTTTGCCCCAGGCACCACAAGATACGCCTCAAAATAAAGGAATGACTTTGATAAATAATTAACCCTCTTTTTTATATACATATCGGAGGTAGGATATAGGATGTGTACATTTTTACGAGGATGACAATATATTTAAATCCTATGGTATTACATTTGTGAAAAAAAGGTATGCCACTTTCTCTTTTTACAAATATTTATTGATATGTATATGTTCATTTTGCTAAAGGCTGCAAAAGATACGTTTTAAAATAAAGGAATTAATTTGATTAATAACTAACCTACTTTGGTACATACATATCGGAGGTAGGTAATGGGATGTCAATATTTTCACGTGCATGACAGTATAGTTAACTCCTATGTTATTACATTTGTGAAAAAAGAGATGCCACATTCTCTTTTTACAAATATTTATTGATATGTATATGTTCATTTTGCTCAAGGCAACACAAGATACGTCTAAAAATAAAGGAGTGAATTTGATAAATAATTAACCTTCTTGGGTACATTCATATCAGAGGTAAGTAATAGGATGTGTACATTTTCACATGGATGAAAATATATTTAAATACTATGGTATTACATTTGTGAAAAAGAGATTTTGCATTCTCTTTTTACAAATATGTATAAGTTCAATTTGCCCCAGACAGCACAAGATACGTCTCAAAATAAAGGAATGAATTTGATAAATAATTAACCTTCTTGGGTAAATACATGTCGGAGGTAGGAAATAAGATGTCTACATGTTTACGTGGATGACAATATAGTTAGCTCCTATGGGATTTTTTTGATGAAAAAAGATGTTACATTCTCTTTTTACAAAATAGGTAAATTCATTTTGTCCAAGGCAATACTAGAATAAATATCCCGATGTTATCGGTATAATAATGGTAGGACTTTGCGATAATTTCTAACTGCTATTGTAAAAAAAATCATCACAATCCATAACTATAAAAATATAATGATTTTTACGTTTCTATCATCATTAAATTTTGAGAGGTGTGTTTATCTGATATATATTATACGCCTACGCTACTCCCTTTCACGCTCCTTAACTACTTTTTCCTCTTCTAATCATGATCTTAAATTACCCAGTCTAAGTAATCACTAATTATATAACATTTGTCACTAAAGAAGTACATTGATGGACAATTACTACGCTAGAGAACTACTTTAGATTTACCCCTTTTCGTGCCCTTGCCTTAAAACTTTCTTTTTCTCTAAAAACAAGATACGTCTCAAAACAAAGGAATGAGATTGATAAATAATTAATTTTCTTGGGTAAATACATGTCGGAGGTAGGAAATAAGATGTGTATAGTTTTATGTGGATGACAACATCGTTAACTCCTATGGTATTCCCTTAAAAAAAAAGAGATGTTACATTCTCTGTTTACAAATATGGGTAATTTCATTTTGCCCATTGCAATACAAGATACGCCTCAAAATAAGGGAATGAATTTGATCAATACTTAACCTCCATGGGTACATTCATATCGGTGGTAGGAAAAAGGATGTGTACATTTTTACGTGGATGACATTATATTTAAATCCTAAAGTATTACATTTGTGAATGTGGCAGTGTATGCCCCAACCCACTATTTGACCCGTTACGTAAACCATGTCTGGCGCCCAACTCAAGGCCGCGCGGTGTGTAGTAGCACTGGCGCGGTGCGTAACAGGTATCCCTTTTCACCTTCCCCCCCCCCCCCCCCCGACGGTCACTATACGGCCGGCGCATAGGTTAGGAATTCAATAATTTATTTATCAGGAACCCTAGCGTATTAAGTTATACATTACATCTAGTTAAGACGGGGATTTTATTCACTATACCTTAGCATATTTACAAGTTTCCATCGTTGGAGGATATTTTAATATTTAGTCATTAAAGGAGTTTTCGCCTTCATTTATAGTGGTCCCCACCCCCTTCTAGTTAAAATATCTTAAAAACTATTTAAGTCATAAAAATATAAAATAGCATCTTAGATAGCTAAGACAAAACTGCACAGATTACATATAAGTCGTTAGGGATGTGGATAAAGATTTTAATTATTACTCTGGATTAGTCCCCAGAGTTAGGCATTTTATCCCAGGAAACTGGCCAGAAGGCAAAACTTAGACCGACTCGGTTTAGGTGTGACGTAGGGGCTCTCTGATATGTCCGCGCACGGTTTTAAAAAGGGGAGCACACGAGGTAGGGGTCATTTCGAGCTTTGGTCAGCATACCTGCATTGTGCCTTTGTTCAGTGCGGCCCATTGGAACGCTCTATATTTTCCTTTTTCTTTTCCTTTTTCTTTTCCTTTTTCTTTTCCTTTTTCTTTTCCTTTTTCTTTCTCTTCTTCTTTCCCTTCTTCTTGTTTTCATCATAGGAGAGCATTAATTAAAAAGCTATAGTCCTCAAGACCTGATTGTTTCATTTTGATTTTATTTTAAAACTGTAAGCCACGTCATCCACTCGGCTACATGAAGAAAAGAGATTTTTAATTCTCTTTTTACAAATAAACTTGTTTACCAATTAAGAAAATCATTGGCGTTACATTTATATAAGCATACCCTTAACTATCAAAACCCAATCATTTTACACACTTGAAAAAGTAATTTTGAAAAATAGAGATGGGTTAATATTTTACTTTCAACAAAATTAAAATATAATTTTGATTTCACTTTGCAAAAAGTAAAGAGGTGTGTATTTTTATAAGATGAAGAATTTTTTTTTTTTTAAAAAGATACAGATAAAACAGATAAAGTCTGTTTTAGGCGTGAACAATGGTTGCGAGATTCGTCTTTAGATAAAATAATTCTTTGTTTTACGAGTCTCTGGTAATATTTGATTTTTTAAGGCATAAATATGTTTAAGTTTTGATGAGATATCAATGCATATCGAATTCCTGTCATATAAAATATACTTATATCACATATATAGCTTTTGATGTAAATTTAAGATTAGTCTTTTTAAAAAAAATTTTGATGAAAAAAGTTGTAATTCAAGGGCACGAAAATGGGTAAATCTAAAGTATTTCTCTAAGGTAGTAATTGTCCCTCAATTAACTCCTTTAGGGACAAAATTGATATAAGTAGTGATAAGTTAGACTGAGTATTTTAAGGTCATGTTTAGAGGGGGAAAAAGTAGTTTAGGAGCGTGACAGGGAGTAAGGTAGGCTTATATTATATAGTAGAAATATAGTTCTCAAAACTTAATGATGTTAGAAATGTAAATAGCACTATATGTTTAAAGTTATGAATTGTGATAATTTTTGCAATAGCACTTACAAATGTACGCAAAGGACCTATCATAATTATCCCGATAATATCGGGTCATTTATTTTAGTGTTAAACATAAAAAGAAACAGTAGTTTAGAAGGGAAATTGAAGATTACTGTCACATGGTGAGGACAGGGTCGGTAATTAATATAGGAAGAGGGAAAGGGGAGAATGGAAAGAAATTAATTATATGTTCATCTGTTGTATAAAGTGGAGGATGTAGAAAGAGGGAGCAAGTGAAATAAAATACGACATTCATAGCAAATGGTGCCCGATAAGGTCATCTTTTTTCTTAAATCACCCTTGCTGGTCTGCTGGAAGAAGGAAACATAGCAGTAATGGACACATCATTCGCACTGTGGTCTCTTCTATCGAAGTGAGCATAAACGGCACATTACTTATAGTTAGAAATGTTGCGTATATGTTTACTAAATCTATCACCAAGTCGCCACCCTGTCTCGCATGCATATCGTATTCGGCAGCTTTTACAAACCATCGTGTAAACAATCTAGCGGCTGATACAAGTGAACCCGTCTCGTAATTGAAAAGAAACATTAAGGAAGACAACGTGTTCCATTTGAATGGGTGAGGGCAGGTCTTACAGTAGCTGCAACCAGGGGAGGTCTTACAGTAGCTGCAACCACATGCCTGACTCCAAAAGTGGGAGGGGACATTTCGGATGTGGCCACGAACAAGAACGTCACTCCTTTCTTATCAAATATTTTCTAGTAAAAAAACAACAAATTATCTATTAATGCCATCCCAAAATTTCTTACGATTCATTCAAGCTTCATGAGAAGTAATTTATTGTCCAATTTGAATCCCTTCCCTGTCTACATTTTAAAACTGTTTTAATTGTCTTTTAGCCCTTGGAAGGCTTTTATCCGAAGCGTCCGCACATATGTTTCGGCTTTTTTCAGTTTTTTTCCAAACCCTGTGTTTTATATGACTTATTGCAACAACCCTGTGTTTTATATAACTTATTGCAACAAACCTTTTTTATATGACTTATTGCAACAACCCTTTGTTTTATGTGACTTATTGCAACAACCCTGTGTTTCATTTGACTTATTGCAACAACCCTTTGTTTTATATGACTTATTGCAACAACCCTTTGTTTTATATGACTTATTGCAACAACCCTTTGTTTTATATGACTTATTGCAACAACCCTTTGTTTTATATGACTTATTGCAACAACCCTTTGTTTTATGTGACTTATTAGAACAACCCTGTGTTTATATGACTTATTGCAACAACCCTGTGTTTATATGACTTATTGTTAAAACATGAATGTAGTACTAGACCAATGATCTTTTACTGACAATTGTTGCCCATAAAAGAACTAAAATATCTTTTACTGACAATTGTTGCCCATACTCTAGCTAAACTTCCATTTCCTCAGAATGTGACCCGGTGTCTGAATCCTCCTTCACCCCCCTAAGCACAGCTTGCCGGTTACAACATGTCCAGATCATACAGATTCTCCTCAAGTATGGAGCTGACCCCTTGCTGGACTTACCTATGGAAGGGAATGTTCTACACACGATAGCCATGTACGCCACGGTGGAGATCGCAGAGGTTTGACATATGCTTTGACACATTTTATCTTAAGAAACACATTTTGACAACAGGAATATAATGTTTTATTTATATATTATTATTAATAAAAGATTTAAAATATTGTTTTTTGAAATCTCGCGCATTTTGTTAAAGAAACGAAAAAGAAATTTGGACTAGTTTTATAAAATTAAAGACAAGAAAAGTAAAGAAAATATTTTAACTTAAATGCATTTCTCTTACAATTCCCAATCTATTATTATGTTTGCAACGGCCACAGATTGTGTTCAGAGACATTGCACCACCGGTCCATTCAGTCTCAACACTACGTCTTACGCCCCTACACAACGCAGCGCTCAGCGGCAACGCTGGCATGGTAGTTTGGTTGGTAAGTGGTAAATGGTCAGGTTTTCTGGTTGGTAAGCGGGAAACGGTCAGGTTGTCTGGTTGGTAAGGTGGAAAAGAGCTGGTTGTTTATTTGGTAAGAAAGAAAATGTCAAATTTCATGTTTGTTGAGTCTGAAATGGTCAAATTTTTTGGTTAATAAGTTTAAAATGGTCAAATTATTTAACCGTGACGTCTAAGTTAAAAATGGCCCTATTGTTTGGTTGGTATGTGGGGAATGGTCGGATTTTTTAGTTTTTAGTTGTTAGGGTTTAAAAGATCTGAAAATTTGGCTGGCAAAAATCTAAAGCCACACATTATTTGATCTGTATAGCGGCAAGAGTCATAGTTTGGGGTTAGTTTTATGAGTTATAGTTTTAAATATGGAGAATAAATTTTACATTATTTGAATACAGATCCATTTGGATAATTGAAGCTTTAATTTAAACTATTAGCTTCAGCACGGCGCCAACCCAAGGGCCCGCTGTTCCCGCCTAACTTCGCCCCTGCTATTGGCCAGTAAAGAAGGTCACTGCACAATCATACAGATCCTGTGTCTTGCAGGTGAGTCAGTTACCAAGGTTGCTTTACAATGTTAAAGGTCCTATGCCTTCCACATAAGTCAATTACAAAGGTCTTTCTACTGTCAAACAGATGACGTGTTTGCAGGTGAGTCAGTTACCAATGTCATTGTACAGCCATAATGGTGCTGTGCCTTGCATTTGAGCCAGTTACCAAGTTCACATTTCAATAAAGAATTACCAGGTTTTTTCAAGGGTCTCATCACAGTATAAATCACAAATATGCAACTGTTTTGTTTTTGATAAGTGAAAAATGACCCAAATAATCATGATACACACTGAAATCACAGAAGTGTTTTACAAGTTTTATAATCTGTGTGTTGACCTAGTTTATGTTTACCACAAACCGTGTCATTCAACCTGACCCCCACGTCCCCTTTTTTTCGGTTTTGTTTTGAAAATGACGCCAAGGATGACATATATAGCGCTGTACCAACCCCACCCCTCCTTCGATTGCGAAGAGGGTGTTTACTTTCTACGTCTTTTAAAGAATGTCATTACGTGACGCAATTTCTAGAATTTCTTTTCTCGAGGAATCTAACTTTCTCCCTATAAATAAGCCAGCAGTTTTCCCAGCCAAAACCGATTTTATTCTTTGTATTATTTATATTAATATTTATATCTTTCTAGGATTGTACATTTTCATTTTCTGTGTTGTAAGTTAATATAGTTTCATTTCTGTCGATTTGATTTTGTTTTCTTTATATACATTTAGATAGTGTAATTGGTTTGTTGAATACTTTTAACATCACTAGATTTGGTGTCACTTTTTATCTTTGTACACTGGTTTTCAAGTCGTTTGTTACGTATTGTTGCACACACGAGCAAAATCTTAAATCAGATCAAATATGCTATACCATATAACGGCACGTAACACATTGTATCAACGAATATTAGACTGATTACGATGGTCAACTTTTATAATATTACCAATGTTGATATTATTCAATACAAATTTTAAAAATTCTACCTTCACAATCAATACCTTAACTTTAACTGAAGGCAGCACTATTAAAACAAAGCTGTGTTGAAAATAAAACCCGTAATCAGGTCACAGTGGCTCGGAATGGCTAATTTAAATAATGGCGTTATCAAAGCACAAAGTAAACAAAGGCTTTTTTCCTTGAAAGTTAATCTTGCCGAGCATTAGAGACAATGTTAATTTACAAATTGCCAGGAGAGACGTTACTGACAGTGACCACAGAACAGTCGAGTGTTTTTTTACAGTGTAGGCCAAACACAATTAACTAAGGCATCCATGAACTGGACCAAGACCTAGTCCATGGGGTGGCGCCACCATCACCTATCTACCTCTCTATTTGCCACCCCGCTGGACCTTGTCCAAAGGGTGGTGGCACCATCACCTCTCTACCTCTCTATTTGCCACCCCGCTGGACCTTGTCCAAAGGGTGGTGGCACCATCACCTATCTACCTCTCTATTTGCCACCCCGCTGGACCTTGTCCAAAGGGTGGTGGCACCATCACCTCTCTACCTCTCTATTTGCCACCCCGCTGGACCTAGTCCATGGGGTGGCGCCACCATCACCTATCTATCTCTATTTGCCACCCCACTTGACCTAGTCCATGGGGTGGCGCCACCATCACCTCTCTACCCCTTTATTCAACGCCCCGCATTTGAGAGAAGTACAGGTGACTCCTTCATTCTTTTAAAAGCGTTGCCTTAAAAGTTACGTACGGAGTAAAAAGTCATGTTTTCGGCTTAAAATGTTCCTAGTTAGTGCTTTGGTATAATAGGTAAATTATCGACATTTTGCATAAGTCATATTGTTTAGAGAATGGGGCCCTTATTGTATCAAATCATTCACCTGAAAAAAACGGTCAATGACACCACCCCCCCAGGCAAAAATCCATTTAGAGAACTCCACCAAAAAGCGACACTATAGTCGGCCATTGACTTTTCCTTGTTAAGTGTACTGAAACAACAGTGCCCGCCCCATCCCCCAATATCGGATGATACAAAAGGTTCTTTTAGAACTGCATACTTAATTACAGTTCTTTTATAGACGGTAAAACACTTTAAACTAGGAACAAGTTGGTTTGGACGTGCGCTGACCAAAAGGGTGAGCTTCCCACAAGGTTAGAGTGCGCCATTAGTCAATTGTTTTGTCGCAGTGACTGGTTGGCGCAAAGCGATGTTCGATCGGTGGCGGTGATGATCGTGTTAGATCAAAGCTCTCAGATGTGTGTTTGAGGAAAGCCTGTTTGCTAATATGTCATTAAGTGGTGGTGCTGGGATCAGAGCGCTCAGTTAAATAAACAGTGCTTGCATTACATCACTAAGTGAAGTATGAAAAATATCACATCACATGTATTAAAGTTGAAACGTTTGAAATCGTTGTGTCAAACCGAATGACTGAAATAATTTGTGGATTGAATAGCGATGCAAGAAATAACGCTAATAAATATAAAGTTGAGCGCTACGTCACCGTGGGCATGAATTGATGCCCATCATGGCTCAAGATACCCCAGGACACCTTTTTATAATGTAATGTTAAGTGGTGTCGGGGGAGGGGTGAGGGTGTTTTGGGGCTCGAAATTTTAAAAAAATTGGGTCCTGTTCTTTTTATATAAGTATTTTTTTAAACCATGTGTAGTAAGTTTGAGAACCCTTGGTACGTTTGAAGAAAGCTAAGCCATCACTATGTTTTAAAACCCCAGCTTCATTAAAAAGAAAATTTAGGACCTCGCGTATGACTCTACCCCCCCCCCCCCCCCCCCCCCCCCCCATCCCCCGCCCCTCTTGCCATTGAGTAAATGTAACATTATGAACACTTCATTTTAAAATTAAACATAAAATTTTCTCACTGAAGACGAACAGAGCCGAGGCCTGAGGAAACTCAAGATCTTGGAAGACGCCGATGATGACGGCTTGACGCCCCTGCATTACGCAGTCCAGTACAACAGATTACAGGTGAGGTGTACCAGGGGCGGCCACCAGAAAAGGCATTACCGTCCCCTTTGATCAGAAATTTATTAAATTATTCGCTGCCTGCACGTCGTACCATTGTTATGAAAGGATATTTTAACAAACATCTACGTAAGGATTATTTCTGGTTTACCGATAACTTAATACTTGTACAATTATGGTGGATAATGATGAGTTTTCTTTAAAGCATCGCTGTTTCAGGACATAGTTTTTAAATCTCGTCCTGGGTTATATATCTTTCGGTTTCGATGTCAGCCGAATGACTCGTTAAGCTTTTGGTTTCTGGGTAAAGTCATTCTTAACGTTCAGCTTGGCTTTGGTTTCAGGCGAAACCAGAAAATATCACATTCGGTCGGTCTCTCTATAAGGTAACTGGGTCAGCTTAAAAATGGTTCTGGTTGGTCAGCTTATATTATTGGGGTCAGCGAGGATACTACAAGTCTAACTAAATATGGACGCCAAAGAGGAAATGTGTCTCACAATATGATTGAGACACTTTTGCTTAGGGGCTAGTTAGGTGTTCAATGATGGTGATTTTCTCAACCTAATGCCTCGACCCTTTATTATAGTTCCTCATGTTGTTGGGACCGGTGACCCTAAAATTATTTTTTCTAGTTACTTCCTAAATATACGTTTTCCGATGGTCTTAGGCAACCCATATGAAAGGTTCGTTCAACACCCAAAGGGTTCGCAGCCCACAGGTTGAGAGCCACTGTTCTACACGAGGTGAAACATTCGAGCCTAAAATTGGGGATGATGCTGGTTTACTCTGGGCATTGACAACATCTTTGGGATGATGCTGGTTTACTCTGGGCATTGACAACATCTTTGGGATGATGCTGGTTTACTCTGGGAATTGACAACATCTTTGGGATGATGCTGGTTTACTCTGGGCATTGACAACATCTTTGGGATGATGCTGGTTTACTCTGGGCATTGACAACATCTTTAAGATGATGCTGGTTTACTCTGGGCATTGACAACATCTTTGGGATGATGCTGGTTTACTCTGGGCATTGACAACATCTTTAAGATGATGCTGGTTTACTCTGGGCTTTGACAACATCTTTGGGGATGATGCTGGTTTACTCTGGGCATTGACAACATCTTTAAGATGATGCTGGTTTACTCTGGGCTTTGACAACATATTTGGGGATGATGCTGGTTTACTCTGGGCATTGACAACATCTTTGGGATGATGCTGGTTTACTCTGGGCATTGACAACATCTTTGGGGATGATGCTGGTTTACTCTGGGCATTGACAACATCTTCACTAGCCACTCATGCGCAAGACAAGCATTACTAGTAACTAATAATCTTCTTTGAGTGCGAAAGACAATTGACGACCAAGTTTTCAAATGATGTGGGTTCAAATCTGGAATTGACCAAGTTTTCTAATGATGTGGGTTCAAATCTGGAATTGACCAAGTTTTCAAATGATGTGAGTTCAAATCTGGAATTGACCAAGTTTTCAAATGATGTGGGTTCAAATCTGGAATTGACCAAGTTTTCAAATGATGTGGGTTCAAATCTGGAATAGATCAAGCTTTCAAATGGTGCGAGTTCAAATCTGGATTGGATCAAGCTTTCAAATGAAGTGAGTTCAAATCTGGAACTGACCAAGTTTACACATGATGTGGGTTCAAATCTGGAATAGATCAAGCTTTCAAATGGTGTGAGTTCAAATCTGGAATAGATCATGCTGAAAACAACAATGCATGTTGCTATTTATGGAAAATAAGTATGGTTGTAAATTTCCGACAATGTTTTTAGCTTTAGCCAATGAGTCAAATTATTCATATTATTATGAAATGTGTTAGCTTCCTTTATGTACAATCACCTCAATCATGCATTAATAACCAAAATTACTCTCTTATTCACCTGAACAACTGGTTTCAATCAAGATTCCTTTCACCCCAACCACAGTTAACAACTAAACAAACCTAAAGATTAACGATCCTGGGTGGCTCCCATTAATTAATGTCACAATTCAACATGGCGGTCAACATGGTCAACATTTTAATGAGACTGCTCCCACTATTTTATTACTTGTCCGATAACGTAACGGCAAGTCATAATGTAATATGCTACAATTACACCATTAAAGTAGCGGCGATAGCTGCGCTACAGTAAAATAAAAACTTGGATCGGGAGTGAATGCCAATGTTTTATTGATTATCACACGGAACGGCTTAGAGATTATACAATCTTTTGGAATCAGTAACAGTAATAATACAGATCATTTTTTTAGTTAGGGCTACACTCTTTGTTTTTCATTTTTGTTCTTTTTGCTGTCGGAAAAAAAGGGGTTGGGTGGTGGTGGTGGTGACCACCCTTTTAAAGATTGACTTCTTTACAATAAGTTTTATTGTTTTTGCTGAGGTTTCTATTGAAAAGAAGGCTGGAGCCTTTACAAAAAATTCAAAATTCTTCTTCTTTTTTTTTAAAGATAATAATTGAAGGACTGCATTCAAGCTTTTTGAATGAAATAGTACAACAAGATTCAAGCCTCATCACACCTTGTTTTACTATTACATTTTTGTTTTTGGAGCCATCTTGAGAATTTTCGGAACACTAACGAAAACGTGAAATTAAGTAAAAGAACAAATCTATTTTTTTTAAACACTAGAAATAACACAAACAATGGTTGCAGAAATGCGTGAGCTTCTCATCTACTAAAGTTACTTGACAAAACATGCATTCGATAACCCACTCTATATCAATTCCAAATAGTTATAAAGTTTTAAAAATTATTTCGCCCACGTATGTGAACACATATTTACAGCCATCCATACACACATACGAAGCGAATTATTGTATAGTTGGTCATCGTGAAATAAAAGCTTTGAATCATGCGCAGTTATTGAGAAGACCCGTGGATTTACGAAGACGGCTAGAAATACTAGAGATACAGTTTTTAAAATCCATTGAGCGTTAAGGTTCAGCCTGAGATGGTTCTCTTTTCTTTTCTCTTTAAATAGATTTTAGGACATCAGTGAGCATGCTAGACTAACATGGACAAAAGCGCCATGAAAGTGTTCAACCAAATCAAACCAAAGACTCGTAACGTTTGATAAGAAATGAGTCACCGTTGCAAATGTCGCTACGATTGCACATTTGTTCACGGCTACATCTTTTTTAAAACGTTTAATCACGTACTTAATGATCATGCCTTGATAAAAATCTATCACATTCTAAAAAAAAAAAAAGCAAACAAAATGAAAGTTTTTACATTGTAAACAATAATAGGGGTATAACGTATTGGGGATTGCACTTTGAAATATATTCACTCCTATACTTTCTGTAAACAGGCTGTCCAGGAGTTGCTCCAGTGGGGAGCCGACCCAAATATCTGTGACGTGAGTACATGCGATAATCATTGTATCAGAAATATAAAAATCTCACCCGTAATCGCGCTATAATCAATGCTGGGAAATATAAATTAGCCCTGCCATCATAACTATAAACATCATGAAAATGTCAGACCTTACGATGAGATTCCAGAGAAGATTTACAAATAGCCAGTGACGTGGAATTGCTAGTTTCCTACAAGTAGCTAGTGATGTGGGCAGTGGCGTAGCTAGGGTTGGTGTCACCCGGTCTGGTAAATTCACGGTGTTACCCCGTCACCCCCCATCCACAGACTTTCAGAACGTGTTTCTTCTTGTCAAAATAAGTCCAAAGTCTAACAATGACAAGAACAGAAAAAAACAACAACTAATTGAAGGTCAGGAGGTCAATGTATTTAAGAACTGAAACAACGTTAAGTTATAGTTATTTTTACATTAAAAATACTTTATTTAAAATTTTCCTTTCCTGGTCTTCAAAGCTGCAAACCTGTCAACTACTTGACCAAAATCACTATTCTTCAACGTATCACTTTCAATTGATAGTAGAGCCGGTTTAGAAAGCCGTGACTGTCTTTAATAGTTCTCTTACCATTCTCCTCTTAAACCTTAATTTTATTCTTAACCGAAACTCCAAAGGTAATGATTTACAAGGTCCTTTTCAATTGCATGATCTACTAAGCGACAGCGGTTCTCCGACAGAAAAAAATCTTTAGACTTCTAGGTTGATTACCACTTTGCCAAGAGTGAAGCATTTTTTCTGCACATACTGATGTGCAAGATTAACTTCCTGTTGTAAAGGTGTCAGATGAACGTGAACGCATAGACAGCATGGTAAATGACCTTGTTTATTTCTTTTTGAGTATTTCCTGGTTTCGATTGATTTGGTTTCAAAAAACATTTTAAAAAAATGAAATAAATATAAATTAATCATTTAAATATATTAAACTTTTTAAAAATATTATTTTGTTAACCCTATAAATGGGTAAAAATTTATTTTAAAAAATATTTTTACTTTTTACGGATTCGATTCATATACTTGGAAACGCTCCGCCACATGGTATTCGGTATTAATGGAAAGCTTGATTTCTAAGAATTTAGATCATAGCTTCATGTAAGTTACAAAAGCTATCGAACACTTCAATCGGCGTTGAATCATGGTCAAAATGGTGTTTTTCTGACCAAATTATAGGGTTACCTCATTTCTGAACCACTGTCTTGAACTTTTAATCAATCACGCATTTCTTCTTCTTTTATATGTTAATGGCCCATGATCAATGTATTGATCATTCTGGAACCTATTTATGTAGATGGGATTCCCGATGTTTCTGTGCCTGGTATGAAGAAAATATTTCACTGGCTACTCAACCCAGAGTTGGAAGGCCTGAGGAAATTAACGCAAGTGTGTCAAGTGTTGTCGCCTAAACTGTTCTTTTAGAACTTTGTTCCAGTCCCTGATTGCGCAGTAATTAATAATTAACTAATACTGAATTATACAGTGCTTAATTTTCCCTTTTTTTATTTTGAAACCGTCTTTGAACACCCCCCCCCCCCTTTTTTTTTCCAACAATTGGATTGATGAGATGTATGGACAATTTACGTGTGGTCGGTTATCCTTTTAAGAAATTCGGTTAGACCGAGAAGTGTGTGCTCTGTAAATATGCATTTTTTCAATTGGGTGTCACCCCTCAGATCGTGTCACCTGGTCCTGTTTGCACCTCCGAACCAACTAGCTATGCTACTGGATGTGGGGGTTTCTAGTTTCTTACAAGTAGGCAGTGATGTGGGGCCGCTAGAGCTCTGCGAGTACTAGTAATCTGCTGCTGCTAGTCTCATACAAGTATTCAGCGATTTTGGGTTGATTTTCTCGAGTACGAAGATCGATTTCACATCTTAATATCTTTGATGTTTGGAAACCATTTCTTGATGCTTAGATCCACCTCACTACGCCCCTCCACATCTGTGCCGTTGAAGGATTGTCAGACCTTGTACCTCTTTTGATCAAGTTCAGGGCTGACCCAGACAAACAAGACCTTGAGGGCAAGACTCCACTGCACAGGTGGGTGATGTCAGGCCGTAACATTGGTTAATTTGCCCTTGAGACAGAACATATTTAAATATGGAACCTGCAAGGTCTGAATACTGAATCTCACATTGTTCCATCTCATAATGAATGTTCCTTTGTTCCATATCATACTGAATGTTCCTTTGTTCCATGTCATACTGAATGTTCATTTTACCATGTAATACTGAATGTTCCTTTGTTCCATATCATCCCGAATGTTCCTTTGTTCCATCTCATACTGAATGTTCCTTTGTTCCATGTCATACTGAATGTTCCTTTGTTCCATGTGATATTGAATGTTCCTTTGTTCCATGTCATCCCGAATGTTCCTTTGTTCCATGTCATACCGAATGTTCATTTGTTCCATGTCATACTGAATGTTCCTTTGTTCCATGTCATACTGAATGTTCCTTTGTTATATGTCATACCGAATGTTCCTTTGTTCCATGTCATACTGAATGTTCCTTTGTACCATATCATACTGAATGTTGCTTTGTTCCATGTCATACCGAATGTTCCTTTGTTCCATGTCATGCTAAATGTTCCTTTGTTCTATGTCAGCCCAAATGTTACTTTGTTGCATATCATACTTAATGTTCATTTGATCCATGTCATACCGAATGTTCCTTTGTTCCGTGTCATACTGAATGTTCCCTTGTTACGTGTCATACCGAATGTTCCTTTGTTCCGTGTCATACTGAATGTTCCTTTATTTCACTTTGACAGAGCCGTGGAGCACCAAAAAACGGAAGTCGTAACAGCTTTGTTAAACGAGGTAAATCTTTTCTTTTGTGTTGTGTGATCCACACACCAATAAAAGTTTGTGATCCACACACCAATAAATGTTTGTGATCCACACACCAATAAATGGTTGTGGTCCACACAGCAATAAAAGGTTGTGATCCACACACCAATAAAAGTTTGTGATCCACACACCAATAAAAGGTTGTGGTCCACACAGCAATAAAAGGTTGTGATCCACACACCAATAAAAGTTTGTGATCCACACACCAATAAAAGGTTGTGGTCCACACAGCAATAAAAGGTTGTGATCCACACACCAATAACTGGTTGGGCTCCACACACCAATAACTGGTTGTGGTCCACACACCAATAACTGGTTGGGCTCCACACACCAATAACTGGTTGTGGTCCACACACCAATAACTGGTTGTGGTCCACACATCAATAAAAGGTTGTGGTCCACACACCAATAACTGGTTGTGGTCCACACAGCAATAAAAGGTTGTGATCCACACACCAATAACTGGTTGGGCTCCACACACCAATAACTGGTTGTGGTCCACACACCAACAACTGGTTGGGCTCCACACACCAATAACTGGTTGTGGTCCACACACCAATAACTGGTTGTGGTCCACACATCAATAAAAGGTTGTGGTCCACACACCAATAACTGGTTGTGGTCCACACAGCAATAAAAGGTTGTGATCCACACACCAATAACTGGTTGGGCTCCACACACCAATAACTGGTTGTGGTCCACACACCAACAACTGGTTGGGCTCCACACACCAAAAACTGGTTGTGGTCCACACACCAATAAAAGGTTGTGGTCCACACACCAATAACTGGTTGTGCTCCACACACCAATAACTGGTTGTGGTCCACACACCAATAACTGGTTGTGGTCTACAAACCAAAAAAGGTTGTGGTCCACACACCAATAAAAGGTTGTGGTCCACACATCAATAAAAGGTTGTGCTCCCCACACCAATAACTGGTTGTGCTCCACACACCAATATCACATTATGAAATGGCGTCAGCGGGCCGTCGAGCTTGCGCTCTTTATGGCCTCCTTAAAACACCCCTCCCCAACCCGGTATCGGGCCGCGGAGCGGCACGTCGAGGATGTCCCTTTGTTAGGACGGCCCCCACCCGAGTCTGCTCGACCAGGTCTCCGCCGGGGGCCGTCCTAACCCAAAGATACCCGGTCGGTCCGACACTGTGTTATTTCGCACAGTGTACACGATCGACTTTCTCAGGAGTCGGGATGGAAAATTTTGCGTCCTAATATCTTCCCCCACCCTTCCCGGGGAAGCGTTAGACGCCCTATAAGGGGGATTCTACAGTGGGTTTCCACAACGAAACTAATTCGCGAAGCAGCTGGGACGAAACGGTTGCCTTGGAGCAGCTTCTCAGGGCTGCGTAGTATGAATCATCGGCCAGAGGTTACCACCTTTGCCTCTCGCCTCATATCCATTAACGGCAACTTGTAATCATGATCCCTACCCTGTCTCTGCCTGTTGTCAAATATCCCAACTGGCAGCCCTGTAGTAGCTGTTTTATGTAAGGTAGGCACCGAGCACATCCCTTGACTGCCCACGCAGGACGCACCCAGTGGTCGTGTTTCCCGGGTAACGCCGAGGGGGTCGTTGGCCGACGCTTCCTAATCGACAAGCCACCACTGACAAGTCAACCGGAGACCGGGAACACACCAATAAAAGGTTGTGCTCCACACACCAATAAAAGGTTGTGCTCCACACACCAATAACTGATTGTGCTCCACACAACAATAAAAGGTTGTGGTCCACACACCAATAACTGGTTGTGCTCCACACACCAATAAAAGGTTGTGGTCCACACACCAATAACTGGTTGTGCTCCACACACCAAAAAAGATTGTTGTCCACACACCAATAAAAGGTTGTGCTCCACACACCAATAACTGGTTGTGCTCCAAACACCAATAGAAGGTTGTGTTCCACACACCAATAATCTAAACTAGAAACAACCTAACCATGGTATTTCTAATAATTTAAATAACATTTTGTGCTTGTTGACATATGAATATGCTCTATGCAGGTTGGCCATAGATAGGTGAAATTATTTAGTATACATTACACAGACATATACGACGATACATTTTGATCTATCAAAGACTTGTTTTATTGAGATCTACCGAAATATTTCAACTTAAATGAAGATGGGAAATATGAATATTCCTGTTATTAGTTTTTTAATAGCGTTAGTGTAAAAAAAAATATTAAGAACATTTTGCCCCGAACATTCAGCGCAAAGGTTTCTATTTGTATAATTTTATTCGCTGAAATGTTAATAATAATAAAAAAAATAAATTTCATTTCAA